AGGTTGGTCAGGCCATTACCTCTCTTTGTGCGTCCAAACTCCAGCAGATCCAATTAAGCCGCACACCACACAATGACAGGGCCTGTAATTGCTCACAAAAACATCCTGAAAGGTGGGGGGTGGGGGGGTTGACTTCTGTGTTGAGCTGTTTCTTCCCAGCACACGAGGCTCATTAATGGGGAGGAGAAACATGGCCGCCTCCACCTTTTTACCAGCTCTTATTTGGTTAAATCGGTTTGTGGTGGATGTGTCCCTGCATCATGCTGAAATAAAAAAATTACAATTGGAACAATTAAGCTGCTGAGACAGGACTAAAAGCTTTTTTAATTAGAACTTCCCTAAAGACAAAATGAGGTTATAATCCACCAAAGAAATGGGGAAAATGGTAGATAATCCTGATATTTTGTTATTGTTCGGTTGATGTTCTTCTTTTAAAAAAGGCTTTATTATGTTTTAGTTATGGGCTGAAGAATATTTGTGGAGTTTCTAAAGTTTGACGTGACGGTTATTTATCTTTTGGGGTTCATTATTGACCTTTTAAAACTGAGCAGTCTAGAAAATGAGTCGAAAAGTGTTTAAAAGATGCTGCCGGGTGTGTTTTCCAAATGGGAAATCCTGAGTTTGGTGGGGTTTTTTTGTTGTTTTTTTGTTCAAACTGGACGGATAGACAGCCTGATGTCCTTTCTCTCTCTCCGTAGGCCACGGTGCCCCCCTTCACCCCTTCGCCCACCGAGTGCCAGTCCAGCAGCCTGGTGTCCGGCTCGCCGGTGCTGTCCGGCAGCTACAGCAGCGGCATCTCCTCCCTGAGCCGCTGCAGTGTGTCCGAGGCCTCGGGCACCGAGCTGCCGGCCGGTGACCACCCACCACTGCCCCCCCACCCACTGCCCCCCCACCCGCTGCCCCCCCCGCCCGCCGCCCTGCCCAACTCTAGCTCGGACGAGCCCGTCCGGCGGGAGAACAAGACCCCGCCCCCCTACAGCGTCTACGAGCGGAACAACCCCCGCCGGCCCGTGCCGCTGCCCCACAGCCTGTCCATCCCCCCCCCAGGCCGACCCCCCCGCCCTGCCGCCCAAGCCCCACCAGCTGCGCACGGGCAGCATGAAGCTGGACGGGGGCGCCGACCCCCGGGTGCCCAGACCCAGGCCCCTGCCCAGGAAGGTGTCCCAGCTATAGGCCGGGGGGGTGGGGGGGGGGGGGGGGGGGGGGTGGAGTTAAACACACTGGCGTATTTTGCACTTTTCTACTCGGCACTCACTTTTGTGTGATCTTGAGTTTGGCATTCCTGTTTTACACTCCGATGAAAAGACACAGGCCTATTACTGATCAGACAGTCAAAAAAAAAAAAAAAAAAGGATAAAACTACAAGATATTTTCTAGAGGGCATTGACTGGGTCTCGGTCGTCCGCACTTTTAGCTCTAGCCGATACGAGGGGGTCAGTCATAGCAAATGTTTACCACAACACTGTAGGGAAAAACAGTTTTGATAGAAGTAATATTCACAAATATATGTATATTGGTATATAAAGGAATTGTTTTTGCCTTAAGTATTGGAAACAGAGTCTTTTATCTGTGAGTCTTGCACGGTTTTTTTTTTTTTCCTTTTTTAAAACAACAGTATATTTGTATACTGCACGGCTAAAAAGGTGCTAGAGGCCTCAAGTATGCATTTCAGTGAAGTGTAGAAAACAAGGGTGTGTTCTCACAAGCAATGGCCCGGAAATTTCTAAATCCGATTTGAAACCTACGCGCATTTGATATACTTCCGCTCAATTTTATGCTTTAAAACCTGCATTTGTGCCTGAAACCTGACCACATTTGGTCGGTTTTCCGTCGGGATCCAGAGAAAAAGAGGATGTAAAATGACCTTTGGCACTGTAATTACGACATTTTTTCCCGGCTAAACGATCATCAACAAACCGACAACTGGCCGAATTTGACCGGTTGAGTCAGGATTTTGGACCAAACTAGGCTTGGGCCGCTGCTGTTTCTGTGAACACGCCCTGCTCCACCTGCATGACATGTACGTGACAACAGACTTTTAGAGGGGTTAGCAAATATTGTGCCAAAGGAAAGTGAACTATGTCCTGTAAAGAAACTTTATCCTCTTTCTTGTGCTTTCTTTAAACGGGGACCTGGAATGGAGTTGCTTGGATTAGCTCATTTGATTCTTGAGGAAAAATTCTTTAGGAAACAGCTCAGATATCCAAACCAATCTGAACTCTGCTGATCGTTTTTAACTTTGGACACGCTCAGACTGGAATCCCTGAGAGATCCTTACCAACAAATCCTCGTCAAATATTTGAACGGTGAAGATTCGCTGTCTGTTTAATTAAAAGAGACGGGCGGGAGATGACTGCAGTCTAAAGAGTCGCTGGGTTCTCCTGTTTTTCTAAATTAGAGGGATTTTTAGCATAAAATATTCAACAATTCAACCCTGCAGCATCTCTTTTTGGGGGGGAGAGGGTCAGGGTAGATTTAGCATCGTTTGTATGTTTTTGTTTTTTATTTGTTGTGAATTTTTTTAGACGAAATATTCACATTAATCAGTACTTGAGAACCTGTAAATTATATGAGATCAATGTAAGTATGCCAAATATGAAATTTGTGTATTACAATTCATGTAAATAATGTGTTTTTAACAAAAATGTAGCTATAACAATTTACAGCTTTGAATGTAATGTTGAAGCAGCAAATTATTATTATAAATGTTCAAACTTTTATTGTTTTGTGAGTGTAGAAAAATGAAAGTCATGCATAATGACTCCTAACTGATTTACAAGTTCAATAAATTGCCCTATAAAATACGGACTGATTCAACCTCCTGTGTCGGGGTCTGGGTTTGTTTTTCTGGAGGGACTGGGGCGCCAGCTGGGGATCCTGTTTGTTGTCCAGATTGGTCAATTCTCATGGGATCACTTTGACTTTGGGATAATAAAACATCATGACAGGGCACTCTCATCACCTCTGTCACACCGCATCATAAAAATATTCAGATTCCAACGTGATTAAGTGTAACAGACCTGTTTTTATGAAGCAGTTATGGAATGAAATTATGGAGAACTACAGACATGTGTGGCCTAATAAATTGTTACATCCTACCATCATTTCCAAAGGAGTGTCAGTGGATTCTAGATGGAGGAATTTACGAGGGGAAGAATAATCCAAAGTATAATTTATCAGAAAGGAAAATTACCAGAATTTGCTCTGCTTAGGGACTTTTTTAAAAGAATCATTCATACAAATGAGAGGAAAATGTTTCCTCTGATGTGCAACAACATCTCCACTAAGCTTTTCTTTATTTATCTTCTGTAGCTAATCTGTAAATTACTCTATAATTTATTATTTTTAGGCATCAAAATATCTAATTAGGAAAATGGAGTCTGCTCGCTATCAGAGTTAAGTGTCTGAAATGAATAAAGTAACAATATCAAACCACAGGTACATAACTCCTGTGTGAAGGTTCCCTGGACTGAGTCCTGCAGCTTCTTCTTCTTCTCTTTTTTTTAATGGCGGATTGCAAACAACTTTTTGGTGCATTACCGCCACCTTACAGATTGGAGTATGGATTCAACAATCTATTAAATTCTTCCTAACACACCCGTTTTTTTTTTTTTTCTTAAAAAACTGAAAATACTTCCAAAAACAACATCCCCAGATGACCTTTGAAACAAATCCCCAATATCCAATTTTATTTTATTCCTACCTAACTCCCTACATGACCTCTCTCTTTCTTGATTATATTTATTACATTCCAAAAAAACATGCTGGACTGTTTCCAGCTTCCCACAACCACAACACCCCGTGCTATGTTTGAAATGAATTGAATTGAAAGCCTTTATTGTCATTGTACACAGTACAATGAGATTTGTTTATTTGATTTGGTTTATTAATTATTTTAAGATTACTATTTAACCCTGTGTGTCCAAATCTTATTCTAGATATAATATCTTCTTCTTTTTTAATTTTTTACTACATTTTCTTACTTCTCCAATCTTTTTCTGAATACTATAATAAAATCTAGCATTCCTTCTTTTATCCCACTCCTGCAGCTTCTGCACAGCTGCGTCTAATCACACTAACGACATGAGCAGGATCCAGACTCCCGAATCCCAAACAGCAACACAAAGACCTGAAACCTAATTATTAAATCCCCTCACCTCTGCTGTAGCTGTCACAATGTAAAAGCATGGAGTTTTATTGTTTTTATTGTCTCAGAACACCACGCAGTTTCTCCTCTGCTGAGAAATTTGGAATTGCCCTGCTACCTCAAAGGCCGAGGCATTGATCAGGTAAGGATCAATAATTTACTCTGTTGCAGTTTTTCTGTTGTTTTTCAGCCCTTTGAAAGCACTGCTCTGGCCTTTTGGGCATTTTTTAAATGGGAGTTAGCCCTTAAAGTTAATACTTTATGTCCTGAGCACCATCAATTACAATTCACAGATAGAGATTTTTAAATAAATAATGCCTCCCCTGCTCCATACTATCCTAATTTAAAACTTCAGACTTCTAGCTTTGACTCAAGCTGTAGTAGTTTCTGCTATATAGAATAACATGTTGGGCTTTTCTGCTCCATTTTTGGTCTCCATTTTTTTTTTTTTCAGGTATAATTCAACCAAATATTTGTATGATAATCATAAGCTGATATCAGGATGGTAGGGAAGTACAATATTCTGAAAGATTAACACCAATAGCCAGATTTGCTACCAGGATAATTGGCTATTTTAGTTCAACATGAGTTGTTTGTGCTTTCAACCAGGGTATCACTGTACTTTTACTAAAACTGGAAAAAATGCATGATTTTTAATGAGCATGGGCTAGAATAGTTAAGTAAAATACCATCCGAGTGAACTTTGACCTCTGAGTCGTCGGCATCCATGTTTTTGTTTTGTAGAAATGTTGCTTCTGTTTTTGTTTTGCTTTCAAATTTAATTATTTTTTTATTTGTTTGGTTAGAATGTGGAAATGCATCTTAAAAGTTAGTCATTTCTGACTTCAGTTTCTGAAACCACTGCAGGTTTTCTCTGCTTCTGAATGGGAAAACATTAATTGAGTTTTTTAAAAATATTTTATCCATTTGAGGACAGATTTCTTTTATTTCTTCTGCACCTGAAAACCAACCTGCTGATATTTCCACGTTGAAGACTTGTGTGAGTCTGTTTGTTCTCTGATTCGGCAGAGCTGGAATATCCCCACATAGAGCTGCAAAACGCTGTTTTTCTGCCTCTGCAGAGCAGTTACACCACAGATGAACTGGCTCGGCTGTATAATCAACACAACAGTTATTTGTAGATGGAATTTTGCTGCTTGACCGAGGGACCTTAAACAATTTCAGATCTCTCTCTCGTGTGTCTGTGTGTGTTTTGTGTGCGTGAGGCAAGGTGTGACTGAGATGAACACACTTCACCTATCGGCCCTCGTCATAATTGTTTGTGGTCGGCTGTAATTTGACAGCAATTATGATGTCAGGGATGAGTTTCTGGCTAATCGGGGCCTTGCTGCAGAGAGGGGGCCGGCTGCTTCCAGGCTTTATCTGCAAACAAACCCACAGGTTTCAGTCGGTTCCAGACAGGACGGGGTTAAACAACACATTTCTGCGAATCCCAGCTGCTGATGCCGTGCATAATAACGACGAAAAGGAGACAAAGCTGGAGGGCTTAAGGCTGTTGCGGCATGTAAATATGGTGAACCTGCCACGCTCCCTGTAATTGTTAAGGTGTTCGGCACATCTCCTGAAAATGCAGCATTCATTACACCCAGCATCAGATTTTTAAAATTCTTTTTATTACAGAAGCACTAAACATTACTTCCATTTGCAGCATTCAGTGCTGAGGATGTGTAATTATCAAGGGGAAGGCACTGCACGGTGTCAATTTAAAGTTGCCTGCAGCAGATTTAGGAGAACACACAGCCGCCGAGAAACTCAAGGTGTTTGTCTCGCTCTGCAAATCTCTCCAGGGAGACGGGGAGCCGGAGCCGCTCTGCAGGGAGCAGAGAGCCCCCCCATCTCTGAGGCACACTGAAGGGGAAGTTTGAAAGAGAGGAGCACAAGAATAGATGGCGTGTTTTTTATCTCCGCGCGCCACTCCCACATCTGCTGTTGTGTTTTGTGGCGGCTTACGGGGGATTTTCACCAGCCAACTTCAAACACACCAGGATGTGTTTAATGGCAGGATGTGTGAAGTTAATTTTTTATTTATTTTTTTTATTCCCAATGTCCTCACTGTTGCCTCGGATGAATGGGGAGTTGGCTGTGGCTTTCGAAGGCTCGAAATGCTGAAGGAAGAGAAGACAAAAGGCTCAGGGAAGAGGCTGTGAAATGGTTTTCTTGGAAGACGCATGCTACATATATCCCCGGCTGATTCGAGCAATTTTATTTTCGAAATCTTCAGCAGGAAGGCAGAGTTCACCTTTTAAGTGAGGTGTTAGGCTTTCCACCAGTGACACCTCAGCATTTAACACAGGAACTGTATTTAGCATCTTTTTTTTTAGGTAAACCGTCAGCATGGAGCTGGATGCAACATTTGCTGTAGGCTGTTGCAAATGGAGCTTGTTTCCATAGACGGGAGCTTCCTAACAGCTCCACCAGCCCTAATGAGTCGAGACAGAGGAACCAAACACCACCTGGTTTGGTTCCATTTAGACTTGGAAAGGTTTGGACACGCCAAACATTTAGATTTAGGAAATTAATCAGACATTCTCATTTTGTTGGGGGGGGTTTTCGGCAAATTTTTTTTTTTCAAACATCTGTTATTAGGATTCATGATTTCGACACAAAATAAAGCCCTTAGTCGGTTAGCAGGACAAACCGTAGTTATGTGTCCATTTCTCTGCTCATGCACGCAAATCTATTTCACAGATCAACAGATTTATTTAGGAGCTACTGGGTATTGTTGTCTTACTGTCTTATATTTTCCAAATGTAATTGAGATGGCCAAATTTCTATTATTCTTTGTCAGAATTGATTCTCTTCCTAGTTTATCCTCGATTCCTCCCTGAGTCAGTCGGTCTCACATTGGTCTTAGATGTGAGCAAAGGAGAATAAAAGGAAGAGTTAACGTAAATTGTTCCTCAAGGTGCTTTCAGGGGCCAGTAAGGAAGGCTGCAGAGTTCTGCACAGGGTGCCACATCCACGCATCCAGGGTCCGATCCTGGGATGTGCAATGCCCCCCCCAGATGTTGGGTTTAAATATTTTCATAGAGACAGGCAGGCTGAGGAGAAAGACGAGTGAAACAGAATCTTTCTGTACACCTCAGCTGAAGCCACGGGGCCAAAGGTCTAATCACACTACTGTTTGCCGAGCATGTTTCACATCGGATGAGTTTAGGCCTATTTTCTCCCATCGTTTTCACCCTCAAATGTTTTTTTTTTCTTTCTCACTGACAGCTTAAAGTCTCGAACTTGATTCGTATTTGATCCCTGAATAAACTGGAATAATCAGCCTGGTTGAAACGAGACAAAGCCCCGAGGAGTTTAAGCTCGCGACCTTTAAATCTCAGAAGTCAACTCGCTCGAACTTGGATTTTTAAAAAGCTGGTATTTGATGTACGGGCTGTGCTTAGCAGCTATTCTGAGAGTAAACCTCTCTCTGACCCTCTCAGCGTAAAACCCTAACCTGGACTTATGGTCAAAATTCATGACATGGTGTGTTGGATGGAAACATTTGTGTGTGTCTTTAAGCAACAATGGCTACTGCTAATGCTCGCAGGATGTGTATTTGTAGTTAAAAATATCCCTCTGACGTTCGGTTGCTTTATTAGAAACAGTGTTGCTTACACGAGGCATCCAAAACATGTGGAATTAGCTTAATTAGGAGTCAGATATGCTGTAAAGCTCCGTGATGCCCACGTTCCACTGGACCCAGTAGTTACTCCTCTTCTTTATTGTCTTTTAACAAATGAAAACTTTACAGGTCATTTTGATTGACCGACTTAATGGGATAATCAATGCTTTTTGTGAAGAAGCCCTCGGTTTAATTTCTACATCCCCCACAGTTAGGTTAAGTGAAGATGACCTCAGTTTGTTTTGACAGCTGAATCTGAGTAGAAACCAGACCTGCCAGGCAACAAGTCGGACAAGATGTGTAGCTGATAAAACTCTATTAAACCCTTCATTTAGTCATGGTGCGGATAAATGTATTTGTTGATATTTATCCTTCAAATCTTGGAGCCTTTATGAAAAGTATGACCGCAGAGACAAAAAAAAAAAAAGAAAAGCTCAACATATTCACGCGTATTTGAAATGATTTTGGCTCTTCTTAACTCTGCAAAGCCCCACTTCCTGCCTCTTGAGCCTGTTTTGTGGGATGCACGAACCACCCACCTCCATATCTCTCCTGATCGTGTGCTGCTTTCTGTTCCAGTGACTCATCCTCCAAAAGGTTGGCGAACAGTGACCCTTTCCACCGAGCTTCTCCAGCCTGGCCTCTACTTCAGCTCGGGCAGTTCTGCCGTCGACCCGCCGGAGCCAGAGGGCGGCCGCATCGAGGCGTGCATCAGGCCAGCTATGTTGAGAGGTACTCTTTTGGCCTTATCTAACCTCTGGCTGTCACCTGTCCTCATTCTCCGGTGGGTGTGTGTTAAAATAAATGCTGGGCGCTCTCCCTGGTCTCTCTGGTGCTCGCCTTAGTTCTGCCTGGCTGGCTGGGCCCGTAAACAGGCCTCTGCGGCTTCTCCTACACACATGAATAAACATAAGGTCAGGTGAGATTTTGAAGTGCCGTCCCAGTAAAGTTTAAACCCACCTGAGTTCAGGAGTGGTGACAGTGAGACGCCAACAATGCTGCTCCAGTTCCTGGTTTAACGGGCCGGGTTTGGCACCAGTATCCAGGCCATTTTATTTACGACTCGCACTAGAATTGTTGTCTGGACAGACATCTTTGAGGGTTGATGATTCATGGGAAGCCTTTAATAGGAAGCCAAACAGAAGGCAATAAGTGTCTGTGGCTTTCAGCAAACCTTTAGTCCGCGTTTGCTTTCAGCTTTCCTCAAATTGGAAACGGTGTATCAGACGAGGAGGCTGTCAGGATCCGGAGCTTGTATAAGTGATGAAGTGGGGGGTTGCTGCATGCCATGGGAAGGATAATGCACTGTTTGAGAACGCATGGCTTGATTCCTCCAGGAGAATGATTTGACTGGGCTATTACCGCCTCAGCTCGACAGCCCCGAATTGTTCTTTTGTTCTGCCTGTGAGGCTCCGAGGAGAGGTTTCTCACAATGAATTCCTATTGATTTTTCTGGTCATGTCATCAAATTGTATGTGGCTTGAATTGTGACTACTGTTTTCTCATCTCCTCCCTGAGGTTCCTCTCCTATATTAACTTTTTATTCTACTTGGAAGGGGGCAAAACTGGAAGCAGGTGGAGTGAGAGCCGCAGTGAAAATTGAATGGGGCGTCATTAGCAGAGTGGCCTTGTTAGTCTGTGTTCCTGCAGGTCCAGGAGGTGTGAATGTTAATCCTGTGCCATTGTTTATTTATCCCATCACCATGTTTAACCCGGCCATGAAGCAGATCTAGTTAAAGGAAGCGAGGTGGAAGGGTTTGATTCTGCTTTTATATATTTGCTGCCGTTGGCTGCCAATTGCATCAAATTCCACACGTTTGAGTGGA